CAGCACTTTCCCTACCAAAAAGCCTCTAGATAACTTCTGACAGTGTTATGTAGAGACAAATGTGGAACTAGTAAGAAAATTAATTCAAATACATGAAAACATTCAACAGCTATGATTGTAGTTTGCCTATGATTCACTGTTAAAATCAACCACGGGTTTTTCTTCTGTAAATTTAACAGATTCGTATTTAAGTAAGGTGCTCTTAAGACCTAAATACAAGAATAAAAATTCACTTGTTCGTAAGTTTTTAAAAACAACTACTTGGAAATGGAAAATAAAAGAATCACATTATAAATCAAGTATTTTTAGACTAACTTGGGAGAGGTTATTTCATTTTCACAAAACTAATACTAAAAGTGTAAGCAATAGAAGGCTTTAGAAACTGCATAATCAGTTTTAGCAATGAGCACAACTTGAGTACTACCGTGTAAAGCGTTAACTCCTGAAGACATTGGAAGGTTCTACTCAGCATCTACCTAACTGTATTCAGTCATTAAAAAAAAAACATGATCTGATGCTAGAACTAGGCATATAGCATACAGTGCATCATGTCTTAAAAATCTGCAGTCACTAGGATTTCAAAAACAACATAATTAAGTCCTTAAACATTTAGAAAATTATGTATCTTTAACAAAAACTATAATGTAAGCAAAATGGGATCTTCGAGTATGCTACTGAACATACCAAATGTCAAGAGTCAGCCCAAACTACTCCATTTTTACCTGCTTCAACTGGTAAAGTTTTCACACAAAGGAGTACCTAGTATTAGAGTTTATATCATTTCATTTCCTAAAACTATAAAGACAATTATATTACAACTATATTTAAAATATCTTGTACTCATCTCTAACTAGTCACAGGTAAATGGAGAAAACCTTATACTGCCTTGTACCATATGAAATTGCTGTTTCTGTAAGTCAAAATTAAAACACTACTTAAAAAAATAAGTTTTAATCAAACAAAATACACATCACAAGCGTTAATAGTTTTCTTCTAATAGGACATTAAATATTTCATTTTTATAAAATTCATCATTTGCTAGGCTGTATAAACTGTTCAAACCCTCCAATTACTGTTTTTCAATTGGAGAATATCAAGTTTCTTAGAAAAATCTCCAAATGATGAAAACTACACCAGTTCACTGGATAAAGTTCTGGTGACTACATTGTAAACAACAGAATTGAATAATTCAATTAACTTTGCTTTAGTGGCTTGTGACATGTGACACCAGTGCTGTCATGTAAAAGTGTGGGTTCATGTTTATTAACCGAAGGACTATAATCAAAATTTTCATGCATAATTTAAATTTCTTGGCAATATTGCTGCTGCTGTCATTTCACCAAGGTTTAAATTATCCCTTTTGCAGGTCACCACATAGTCTTCAGAACTTTTTTGGTCACAACGATGGTTCAAGTTTGGGAGATTTACCAACATCTAACCATTGTATAAATTATTATCAATTGTCATATAGAATCCTTTTTTTGGGTCACAGGTTATGATCCACTCCAAAAACAGGCTTCTGTTGTTTCAAATCTTAATGAGTGCACCTCCAACTGTCTCCATTCTTAATCATCTCTCAAGAGAATACGCTCAGGTCCATTTTTTCTCTTTCCCCAGTCACAGCGGAAACTCCTGTCTGCTGCAGGAACTGTGAGTAAGCTCTCATCCTGGCTCTTAATTGATCTTTGCTTAAAACGGATTTTGAATTCCCCTGAGGCTCATTTTTAATTTTAATTTTCAGATCCCCAGAACAAGATTTTTCAACCCTCCACTCTTTGGCAGTAGAGCCCTCTAAGGCCAAATTGATGTTTCTACCTATCTCATTTGCAATACGTCCCTGGTTTGAAATGATATTAAGAAAAGTATTCACAATTCTTCTGAGGATACTGTATTGTTTATTTCTCTGGAAAACAATAACAAAACAACTCAATAATCAAACTGAAGAGTGAAGAGCATAATACTGTTATATTTCTAAATAGCACAACTAAAAAATCCTTTATGACAACTCTACTAATTGTAGTCAATTTTCAACTGATCTAATGTTAGCAATTTCATGTGGTACAATCCACAAGTTAATCAACAAATACTTATTGAACATCTACTGTATGCTAACATGTCTCATATCTGTACAAACAGACATCTTGGAAAGACTGAGTTGATAATATGAAGGTCACTAATTTCAAGGACCCTAATATGGGACGAATCTGGTGTCATACTCCATTATTTTTTAAAACACTCATTGAAATGTATGCTTTCTTCCATGTTTTAGCTACATATATTCTTTCTGAAAACATGTTAAATGGATCCTCAAATATTTTTTGAACTAAATATTTAATTTGATATTGCCAAAGTTCAGCACTGGAATACACTTGACCCTTGAACAACACAGGGGCTAGGGGTGCCGACCCCCTAACAGTCAAAAATCTGAATACAACTTTATAGTCAGCCCCCCAAAACTGTGGTTCCGCATCCTGGGATTTAATCAACCGTGGATCATGTAGTACTATAGTATGTGTTTATTGAAAATCAGTGGGCCCATGCAGTTCAAACCTGTGTTGTTCAAGGGTCAACTGATACATTTTTCAATGATTCTAACTTTTAAAAGTCAAAACTTGCCTACATTTGCTATATATTATCTTGAAGCTTCAAGAGGCTTTTATGTTCATGATTACAAACTAAAATTTACTTGTATATTACTTTCTAATGCACCCCCATATACATTATTCTTATTTAAGATAGCAAACAAAAACAATACAAAGTTTGCACTAGCAACGAAGTGGTTATTAATAAAAACTAAAAGGTAAATAATTTTTTTGTGTGTGCATTTTAAAAAATAATGTAAAACATTAAAATCCTGTGTCACTGAACCTCTGTAATACACAGGAGAAAAAAACCACTGTAGTTAATGCCTGGATTAAGCATCACTGCCCACTGCAGGGGGACCAAAAGTTTCTCTAGTGCGCATTAACTGGACATCTTTGTCAGCCATACAGGTATCACAGCCCCATACTGCTGATGCTTCTGCTGTTAGGAGGCCATAAGCTGTTTCAGTCATTCCAGTGCAGATCCGATGAAACCATTTCTGACAAGAGGCTTCACATAAGATGGCATCCTGATCATCATTCACTTCATTTGTACAAATTCCACAAGGATACACTGGGTCAGAAGAAGAATGCCCATGACGACTTGGGTGGAGAGAGGATTTATTGCTTTTCTCAGTGGTGCATGTATCTGCGGCACCTCTAGGTTGTCGTGGCTTATTCTGTGTCCCGTTTGCATGGCTGTTGTTTGTAGCTTCAGTGCTACTTGAACGGCTATTCTCTTGATTTACGACATTGTTTCGATTAACATTTTTTAATTCAATATTACTCTGATTCACTGTGTCATCCATATTTAAGTGAGGTGGATGAGCAGAGGAATTTTGATTAGTGTTTTTGGTTGCTCCTTGACTAAAGTCTTGTTTTGGGGGTGGTGCTTTTGCTTGACCAAAAGTGTTTGGGGGAGGAATAAAAGAATGATTAGATTCTAATGGAGAACTAAAATTTGAATTATTTCCAGGGACAAAGTGACTAAAGTCTTGTTTTGGGGGTGGTGCTTTTGCTTGACCAAAAGTGTTTGGGGGAGGAATAAAAGAATGATTAGATTCTAATGGAGAACTAAAATTTGAATTATTTCCAGGGACAAAGTTAGATGCCAAGTCAGGGTTAGATATTTGGCTAGCACTCTGTGGAGGAATCTGATTGAAGTTTTAGTAAGGACCGCAGTATGGGGAAGACATTCTTGGAGGAACGTGAGGTGGCATTCTGAATGTGCTGTAGCCTCCAAAGCCAGGATAACCAGGGCCAAGATATGGATTTGACGAAGGTAGTGGTTTATAGGAAATAGTATTGTAGTTGTCATCAAATGGATTAGCAGCCACTAGATGGTCAGAGTTTGGATTTGGTGGTGGAGCATACTCAGACAATGGAGGAAAAGAAGGCCCCTGAAATGAGAATGTAAAATACATGTTTTTGATCAAAGAAGTCATAAATGTTAACATTTATGAACTTAGTTTTAAATTTCTTTTGAAGTGTTACAAAAATTTAATTCTTCACCTGACCTTTCAATTCCAAATAATGTTTTTATTTATATTTAATGATAAAACTGTGTAGGTTTCTTTCATTTAGGAAAGGAAATAAGTGTACTTTTTTGAGCTCAAATCAATTGTTACAAACTCTAGAAGTATTCAGCCTTCAAAAGAAGCTTCATTACCATAATTTTCATTGAATACGCTTGCCTGTAACTCTAGAATCTTTCACTTAAAATTTTAACTGAAAATACCTTTATACCTCCAAACAGCCATAAAATTAAATAACAGTAAACAGGATCTAAATTTTTTTCCCTAGCTTAACTTCAGAGAGTTAGCTATTAAAGTATTCCCAAAGCACTAAGGCCTAGGCCTCAGACTGGAAAAATAAACTGCCAGTTTTAGTCACAACTGCAAGTTTAACAGTGTGGCCAAAATGGAAAAAGGTAATCTGTACACATTTCATAGTTACTTGCAGTCTTTATAATAAAAACAGTGCTTCAAATTTATAGAGGATAAAACCAAGAAAGTCTGTATTTATAACTGTTTATTACAACCAAAGGTTTCAGACAAAAGATGCTTCCATCTTGATTGCTTCATGATATGTACGTACTACTGATTTATTATAATAGTTGAACATTACTCCAAGTTAAACTTGTGTCCATATATTTTTAAATCTTTTCATAAAAGTACAGGCATCTATTCCTTTTAAATTAGCTTTAAGAATAAGCATTTTAATTTATCTGCCTACACTTCCTTCTTGCAATATTCACTCTAGGCTTACAGTCCAATAATAGCCACTAGCTGCAAAGCAAAAAAAAAACCCAAAAAACAAATCACTGAAGAATTCACTACTAGGTTCTGAATTAGGATAGGAAACAAAACCCATGACGAAAGTTAAATTTACCTCATAGCCTGATCATACCAGTGAAGAAAAACTGTTATTAAAGAAAATGCCAATTTACCTGGGTATTTGTCTTGCGCTTTTTCTTATCTGGGCTTCCTAGTTGTACACCTGGTCCTCCTAACCCATCCAGTCCACTATCACCACCTAAAAATAAATAAATAAATAAATCCAGATAATATTTCTACTTATAAGTGAAATTTATATCTCTCATAGCAATATCTATTATAGCTACCTGTTAATATGTTTCTATTTTTATTAGATAAAAGCAATACTAAGCTCTTATTATCTTTGTTCTTCAAAAAGCCTTCCCCATATCTCAGCCAGAATCAGTCATTCACCTATGCCCCATAGCATTTTTTATTATTCTTTCAGTGAAAAAGTAATTCTCCATCCCACCCTCAAACCTTCAGTCATCTGGTTTCCTATCCCTGAAGCAAACACTGTTGCTAGTTTCTGATCTATCTTTCCAAAGATAATCTAGGTAAATTCCAGTATATCTCTGGGGAGTACACAAACAATGGCATGCTTAGTATGGAACAATGGTCTGCACCTTGCTTTCTTACTTGGAAATCATTCCATGTCATTACATATAGAACTGCTCCACTCTCTAATAACTGAGGAGTTCACAGTATGATTATACCATAATTCATTAAACTAGTCCCCTCCCTATTGATGGATATTTTGATTGTTTTCAAACCTTTGCTGTTCTGCAATGAAAATCCATGTATCAATGTCTTTACACTCATGTAAAAGTCATTCCTAGGACTGGAATTATGGCATCAGAGGCATGTGCCTCTTAATTCTGAAAGGTATTGTCAAAATACAACAATGTATGTGAGTATGATTTTCTCAATATGATCAAGCAAAAGCAAAAGCTTGACTGTGAATCTAAGAAGTTTAAAAAAACATGGGATTTTCTTCCATTAAAAGAACACACTTTTTATTACAGAGAATTCTGAACATATACAAAAGCAGACAGAATAAAATTATGTACACATATATGTAGATACACATATGTAGTAAACTATAATACATATTTGTAATAGATTAAAAAATAAATAAATCCAATGAGTTGACAGAGAATTATAGGAGACTTGCTCATACATGTGGATTCCGAGAAAGAGATATTTAAACTGAGTCCTAAAAGATGATAAGAAATCTCTCATATGAAGATCAGAACGAAAAGCCTCTAGGCAGAGAGAATAAATAGAAAGGAGCTTGAATGTGTCATCCTGTCTGAGACATTTAAAAGAGGCCAGTGTGTTACGGAACTCTGGAGAGCACCTTTAGAAGAGGCTGAAGAGACAGGCAGGGACCAGATCATTTTAAAGTGTCATGAACTAAATGCTCGTGTCCCCACACAATTCATATGTTGAAGCTCTGCCCCCTAATGTGATAGTATTTGGAGGTGGGGGCTTTTGGAGGTAATTAGGGTTACATTAGGTCATGAGGGTAATGGGATTAGTGGCCTTCTAAGAAGAGAAAGTGAACTCTCTCTCTCCACACCCCCTTCCTCCCTTCCACCCTCCCTCCTCCCACATGCAAACAGTGGGAAAGGCCATATGAGGACAAAGCAAGAAGATGGGCATCTATCTACAAGCTAGGAAGACAGCCCTCACCAGGAGCTGACAAACTGGCTGGCATCTTGATCTTGGACTTCCTAGTGCCAGACTGTGAGAAAATAAATTTCTGTTGTTTAAGCCACCCAGTCTAATGGCATTTTGTTATGGCAGAGCAAGCCAACTGAGACATAGAGCCTTATAGTTTATGGTAAGGAATTTGGATTTTATTTTAAGAACAGTGGATGATCATTTAAGGATTTGGGGCAGGAAAGTAACAAGATTTATGTTTTTAAAAGATTACATTAGCAATTGTGCTGAGAATAAATTGGTGATGGGAATGGGGTAGAAGCAGGGCGACCAGTAATCTCTTTATAATAGTAGTTCAGGAAAAGAAATGGTACTTGGCAATAAAGAGAAATCAGCATGCTGGCGATAGTTCCACACATAAAAATGCAAAGCAGATTTCTGTAAGAGCTATTTAGAGGAAGTTTAAATATTGTGGAGGTAAAAAACTATGACAACAATAACAAAATTTTAGTAAGGATTCTGGATGTTAAATTAATATCTAAACATCAAAAGCTTTCATATTATAAACTATAACCAGTTAAAAGATAAAGTAGAAGATAAGCTTTCATTAACAGGAACAAAACTAAACTAAAATAGCTAGCAATAAATTTAAGAAATGCACAAGATCAGTATGAACAAAAACTTTTTAAAAGCCCTATATTGAGAGACAAAGAGGAAGACTTCTAAGAAGTGGAAAGGTACTCCCTGTTCTGGCTAGCCATCTAGAACAAAATAATACTGTTTTTATTTAGCTCACATATTATCCCAGATAGCCTGGTTGTGCCCTCCTCAGAGATATCAGCACCTGGTGTCTGAGTCCCAGGCCCACAGGGCCCATCCTCTAATCCCACAGGCATTCATACCAGCCTAAGCAGCACCCCCTTCTCAGAGACCTGAGTTTAAACTCCACAGGGACCCTCTTGTGAGTTTATATATTTTAATAATTCCAATCTCTTTCCTATGTCCTTCAGCCTTAAGAATGGTAGCTGCTTCCCACAGTTGTATTACCTCTGTAAAAACTTTAGTATCCTATTTTGCCAGTTTAATATCTGATACTTTATATCAAATTCTTTCCATTAAAAATAACTAGTCTGGGGCTTCCCTGGTGGTGCGGTGGTTGGGAGTCCACCTGCCGGCACGGGGGACACGAGTTCAAGCCCTGGTCCGGGAGGATCCCGCGTGCCGCGGAGCAGCTGAGCCCGTGCACCACAACTACTGAGCCTGTGCTCTAGAGCCCATGAGCCACAAATGCTGAGCCTGCCTGCCGCAACTACAGAAGCGCACCCGCCTGGAGCCTGTGCTCCACAACGGGAGAGGCCACCACAGTGAGAGGCCCGTGCACCGCAATAAGGACCCAACACAGCCAAGGACAAATAAATAAATAAATTTAAAAATAACTAGTCTGGTTTCTGTCTCCTGACTAGACCCTGACTGATACATATTTCAAACACCTCCCAGGCTGAAAATAGTATTACTCCTACGTTAACATCATTCCAGAGATTTAGCTTACTATCTACCTACCTACTTTTCCTCCTGTGTATAAATTTGTGATAGTAATACCTTTACAAAAATGGGCTATTATTTTTTAAATAAAAGCATTAAATTTTAACTTTATTAGAATTTAATAAAGGAAAAAGAAATAAATTAAACTGAAGAATATGCTAAATGTTTCTTCACCAAAAGAGAAATTTTTGAAAATAATTCTCTAAGGCTAAGAAAAGACATCAAGAAAAACATTAAGTTGGAGAAACTATGGTTTTTCTTTTTTCAATCTTTAGATGGTGTCAAGTGACTTCCTGCTTTGAAAGTTGAGGATAGTATAGTATCACATCTTATTCTACTTTTTCCCTCCCTAAATTTAGCAGGGTATTTTCTATCTCTAGATTCTTCATTTCAGGTAAATTTTCTTTTCTCATATCTTTGAATACTTTTTTTCCACTCTGTTTGTTCAGTGCTCTATTTCAGGGGTACTAATTATCATTATGCTGGGGAGATTTTTTAGCTCCATACCTATTAGCTCATCTGACTAGTCTTTTTCATCTGCACTTAATCTGATTATCTGAAGTTTTTCTATTATGTAACTTAATTGTTAACTATCTTTATTCTGTTTCTAATTTGTAATTTATTTGTTCTCTATATATGTTGTTTTAGTCAATTTATTTCCTTAGGTCTGCAATTTACCCTTCTTCTGTGTTTTAATATTATCTTGTCTTTGAGCTCTTATTTTATTTAAGTTCTACAACTTGAAGTACATGTGAGTTATTTCCTTCTGTCCTGTAGGTTATGGGTTCACTAGTTTGCTACAGTATGTTTACATAATTATCATGCTTTTATTTTTATCTTGTAGCTTTGCCCAGACCTTTTAAGCTCTGATTTAATGTGCATAACTTTGACTCCCTTTTATTCTTATCTAAGATTGTTTGCCTGGCTTAGATGGCTTGCATCTATTGAGATAATCATATGATGCTTTTCCTTTACATTATTTATTTTTATAAATTTATTTATAAATTTATTTATTTATTTTTGGCTGTGTTGGGTCTTCTCTAGTTGTGGCGAGTGGGGGCTACTCTGTTGTGGTGCGTGGGCTTCTCATTGCAGTGGCTTCTCTCGTGGAGCACCAGCTCTAGGCACACGGGCTTCAGTAGTTGTGGCATGTGGACTCAGTAGTTGTAGCTCGTGGGCCCTAGAGCATGCAGGCTTCAGTAATTGTGGCACTCAGTCCTAGTTGCTCTGCGGCATGTGGGATCTTCCTGGACTAGGGCTCAAACCCGTATCCCTTGCATTGGCAGGTGGATTCCTAACTACTGTGCCACCAGGGAAGTCCCCTTTACATTATTTTAATGTTGAACCCAGCCTGACATTCCTATGTTAGTAAACCCAACTTACTAATTTTTATATGAATGTTATATTTATGTGACTGGATATGTTAATATTCTCTTTATAATGCTTGCCTATGTTAGTAAGATTAACCTGTTGTGCTTCCTTGAAACATCCAGGCTCTTAATTCTAAGATTTTGTTAAATGCACATCTACCTAGTTGGGGGGTGCAGTAACCCATTCACATGGGAGGATTCCCTTGAGTCCTCTGATTCAATTTGTATCCCTGAAGGCTTCTTTTCTGTCAGAGAGTCCTTTAAAAACAACAACAAAAACTTCCCCTGTTTCACTTTTTTTTTCTTACTCAAAGGAGTGAGAAGACAAGACTACTCATTTAATTTGCTTTTCTCCAGACTTGAGGTTATTAGTAATTCTCAAAATTTTGTAAATCACCAGCAGCTTCCAAGGCGCAGGGATTGTTTAGAAGCCTAAAACAGTGATCCAGATTTCACCCTGTTCCAGAGTTATGTTACCCGGCAATGCCACTTCCCTTGTTTGCTGCTATTGCTGACACTTTTGCTGTTTTTTAAAACTATTTTGGTTCATTTCACTTGAAATTTAGAAGAGAATCTGTACGGTAGCTTTGTTCTACCATCTTAGAAGTTTATATCTCTGTCTATGTTCTTTCACTTAATCTTC